AAGTTTAGAAATGCTGAAAAGGAAAGGTTATGTCTGTATGTTGAACTATTCGCACACTAAACTCTACTTGGCAGTGGATCTACGATCTATCAAACATGGCTTCCTAGTTGAGGAGCTCAGAAGTTATTGCTATCAGTGACGATAGTGAAGACAATATTATCTGACACTTTGTCTGGGAAGTCGATATGGAGCGAGCTCGGGCTTGCGATGATGACGGGGACTCTAGAATGTGCTATTTCAGAACACACACCAGCTGCAGCGACGACACCTCAAACACAACCAAAGTGGAAGGTTGTGTTTCCAGAGAAAAGTCACACGGTTGCCATGGCAACATACCTTTTCTACAGAGACAAAGACTATTTTCGTCCTTATTAAGATAACTGCTGACCGGTGAAAAGCCCCTAAACGTCGGCGACACCGGCACCTGTTTTCTGTACATCACTCGCTCACGATGCGATACGTGCGCCGTTACGGCCTCGTGATGACCGACAGCGAAGAACCACTCGTTATTTCTCACGATGAATCTTAAACATCCGTCTGAAACAACATCTTTAGCCCCGCTGCACAAACGGGAGGTGATTTCTGGAATGATTTCACCAAAGAAAAATAACTATGTTATGTAATGTTTCTGTTTAAGAAGGTAAAACCAAATCAACACCATATGTAACACCTGAAAACAGAAAAGGTTGACAATGCAGAAAGGTCCAATGTCAACAGTATTTAGGTGACTGATTTTGTGTTGGAAAACAACTCAAATACCTGCAATAGTATTCGACCTCTGTGAGACAGTCACAGCGTGGTTACATGGATTCCAATAACTGGCTTAGTCGGACTGAAATCGAATGATCCGTTTCATGTAAACACCTTTGACCGACTACGTGCGGTCCGACTACGCTCCGACTCACACGCCTGGATAACTCCATCCGATCCAGTTGGTAGTTTGACTATTGCGGCATGTGACGGTGAATCGGATGAGGAACTGGACTCTGCGTCTTTGCGCATGCTTGAGATCCTCTCCGAGATTCTCTCTGTTATCAAATCAGCCAATAGCGCCATTCGCCTTCGCTGTGCTCCTATTAGCATCATGCACAGATAGTAGAGGGATGTAGCTTCACCTTGCTCTCTGCTCGCCATCTTTCTCGTAATGTTGTTGTTGTTGGTAGTGGTGAAGAGGTCAAGCGTTGTGATGAAACCAGCGCCACCTATCGTATCGGATATGACGTGCTTTCGGCCAATGATTCGATTTATTCACTGCCATGTATATTGGGATAATAGCACCTCCCCCCCGAAAGACAGTCCCACTAAGCAAAGATTCCAATTATACCATCATGCAAACACACTGAGTGTGAATGTAACTGAGTGGAAGTTACTCTCTATATTGTCTTTAGTGATTAGGAGGTCATAAGACTCCATTTCAACAGCCTTTCATTGACAATCACATCTTCCCTCTGAGGACGGATCATCCTATCTGTTGACCTAAAGAATCAATCTAATAAGAAACACATCAACTGAAGAAAGCAGGTTTATGACACACACACACACACACACACACACACACAGAGCCCTTGTGAGGCCGCAGCCTAATGAGCATCAAACAGCAGAACGCTGGTGTAATTGGTGGTGAAAGCTGAGTGATCCGCTGTGTCTTCATCTGTACGTCTAGGAGAGGATCAAAGGAGGCGTCTAGGAGACGGATCTGTTGTTGGTGAGCAGCGGAGGGCCGCGTGAACTAATTACTCTCTCAGATCGGCGCCTCGAGTGTCCGGCCGGAGCGGCGGACGAGGCGTCTTCACCTGTGCGGAGGTGGTGGCCGTCTCGTGAAGTCTCTTTGTTCTGTTGGTACCTTCTGAACCCACCTCATCCTCGCCAGCAACATTCTGCGTTTATATTCCAGGCATCAGCACGAGGTTTATAAATTAAAAGCGGCCTGGTTTCCATTTGTGGTCCGTTTTAAGTTGGCGGAGGATCCACCAAAAGCATTCAGGCTTTGTTTGAGTCCAGGTGGACAGAAAAAGAGCATTGGGCCAAAACCTCAGAAACTCAGCGGCGATCCTCTGGTCATGAGGACTGCAATGACCTTCAATACCGTCCCATTTCAGATGTCTACGTCATTAAAAAAAAGTGTAAAAGCTCATGTCAACAAATTTAAATTTAAAATAAAAATGGAGCGGATTTTCAAGTGTTGAAAAAGTGGTTTGGGCTCAAAGGTAATCAGAGATAAATAGATTGGACCAATCCCACGATAATAGCATGTAATCAGCATCTGGCCTAAAGCGGTGTAATAATCACATCGTCACCGCTCAACTCCCGCTGTTCATCATCACAAACCGTTTCTCTCAGGGTCGAACCCCGAAAACAACTCTCGCAAAATAAAAGTGAAGGTTGAAGTCGTGCTACTTCAACACAATGTGCTCACAAGTACTAAAAATGCCTCAATGACTGTAGAACAATATTTCTTCACTTAACTTTTCGTGAAGGATGCAGCAATGAAAGTCAGATCTTATAATAAATATATTGCTCTATTAAAATGTTTTATACTGATATTTGAGTTGTGTTTGAGTAATTAATTCATGGAATGATTTGTACGAAATGACACCATCACAGTCAACTATAAACCTGCCCCAGGTATTTGGTACTTGAGGAACCTTCCGTCACAGCGCAGTGATAGAAGGGACCAAAGCACACCGATCAAAGGGGAAAACCTTCAGCAGCACAAAATTGGCGCAAATGTCTGTAGCATGACAGGAAACTCAACCAACCCAGAGGGGAAGAGGAAGCATGAGAGAAACCACAATATACATCAGTTTATCTAACCTGAATATGTATGGATGCATATGGAATGTCCTTGTGAGCCCAAGGATTCATACGTTTGTGTGTGTGTGAGAGACACTGATAAAGAGCGGGTAGCTGAGTGTGTACGCAGAGCGAGTGTTCCTACCTCAAGGAGCCGCACTCTCACTTTGTTGTAGGCTTTCAACCAGCGCACTTTGGACGGAGAGCAGGGGGGAGGACCGTCCTCGAAGAAACTGGAAAAAGATCGATCAAAAAGAGACGGACAAGTTTAAGGGGAAAAGATGAACGGGCATTGCTCAATGTCAAAATTGATTCAGTCCCTGAATCTTAAAATGCCTAATTGTCTCCGTTCTCCACGTACCAGACTTTGGTCTCAGTCGGCTGGGGCGAGATGACCAAAGAGTCTTTCAAGTCTTTGTTTGAACCGGGCTCCGGTGGCGCGTTCTGCTCTTTCTCCACCTGCTGCTCCCCCGCCTCCTCTTCGGCATCCTCCCAGGTAGCCTTCTGGCTACCGAGGGCGGGGCGCCGGACGGCGGGGGGGCGGGTCTCCGGATCTCGCCGCTCCTCCGGCTCGGAGCTGAGCTGGGAGCTGGCCGGGCTGAGGTTGCCCGATGAATCGAAGCGACTGCTGTCCGGTGGACTGCGGGCGGATCAGATAGACTTTTAGAATGGGACGGTGATTTGTGTTTAAAGGGGGGAATTGCACAACCGAAAGCTTTTATTCAAACATTCACTATTTAGGGGAGATGACTGTGTTTCTCCAACACATGAAACATGTGAAAAATACTTTTCTTCACTCTGATATTTGGGAAAACTGACGGGGGAAGCAACGCGTCATCATCATCACATCCAGGGAGGAAGGACACAGAATAGGGGGAACTAACAGGGTTCAGTTGGGGAAGCTGAATGACGGAACCTGAATGTTCCTGAGTAAACTATTAGGACAATCATGTCAATGAGCGCTCCGATCATCAATGGGAGGTCTTCCTCCTTCTCAAAGATGAGCGAGCATAACGATAACGGCCTGTTGATAATGAGACCAACACACAGCTTACTGAAAGTTTGGGTTACCCAGAATAGAGAAAAACCTTTTTTAATGAACATGTTATCTATCTATTGAGGATATATGCACATTATTCTCAGTTATTTAACCTTTTAATAAGATTGTTGTAAGTTGCTGGCTGAAAAAAGAGCACTGTGTGGCTGCTGGGTGATTGAGGCAGCTAGCTGGGAAAGTGGCTCTTTGCTTTAACTGCCATGATTTACTTTGTCTTGGGTGTCGGCCAAATTACTTCCCTCTTTTCCTTTTATTCCAGTGTACCGCCTGCCTTGTCGGTGTGCACTTCCACACCGTCATAAATCTGTCAGGGATTTAATTCATATAAACAAATTGGCTGAGGGTTGGAGAATCACTCAGGGAACTTCAGGGGACAGAGAAGGGGGAGGGGGGCAAGAGGGGGGAAGAGGGGCTTAATACACGGCCTCACAAGTCAAGTGCTAATAAATAACGACTATCGTCGTTTCTTCATTCATTGCACCTCCATCACAGTCAGGAAAGCCATTACACAGGCGCTGTAAGTAGAGAATAGCTCCAGTACATTAACACGTGACGGTGAGTCCATTTCAAGCACATGCGATCTTTCCTACTGTGTAGCTCTGAAGATCGAACTTACAGTGTCAGATTTTTACTGGATGGTTTGTATTAATGTGTAAAGTGGATGTCTTGTATATTCGTAACAAAAATTTGATCAAAAATTAGTTTAAAAACGGGTCAATCTGAGTGTATGCGTAGGATTACAGAGTAAAGGTGAGGAATGGGAACGGGGGGAAAAGCACAGAGATACTGATATCAAATGTGGTAAAGCAAAACTCTAAATGGAAGAGCAGGAAAGGCGCTACACCTTTGTCTACATCAGCATGATAAATGAGAAAAAGTCATTTATCATGCAAAATATACTAGCCTTTTGGCAGCCTCCTTTGTCAACAGGTCCTTTGGTTGCTCCGTACCCAGATCTGCATGAATGTCAGGCGTATCACCTTCTACTTTATCTACCCTCAACTGGGGTTGATCCTCTGCGAAGGAAACTGAGAGCGAGGGAAGGCCAGAGAGGGGCGACTGTGCTAAGGTGTCACAGCTTCCTGTTTTTGACGTTACTGTGGGTTCTTCCGTATCACTGGCGTCTGCACTCTCAGTTCGCCCAGAGCCCAGGGAAAGTCGCTTAGGCTCGGGCTCACAAATTTCATCTGTTGGTTTGGGACTTTCGGACTGAGGTTGGGCTGTTGACACCAGAGGAGTGGATTCAGGTTTCACTGGATCAGAGTTCCCAAACATCGAGCCAAGTGTCATGCCAAACACGGATGAAGCAGATGGAGGTTCATCCTTTCCAGTTGGCTTCTCATCCTGGAAAATACCAGCTGAAAGGCTTTTAAAACCTGAAAAGAGACCACCGTCTGTCTGTTGTGGCTGTGGTGTCTTTGTAACAGTGGCTGGGGATGAAGAGTTGGAGAAAAGGGATCCAAAAGATGATGTACCTTCAGCAGCTACAGACATAAAGCCAAATTTAGGAGCAGTCAGACTGGGTATTTCAAACATGCCTTTGTTTTCAGCAGCTGGGGCAGGGGCAGCTTTGTCACACACTGCAGACCCTGGCCCCTCTAACTGTTCTGCATGTTTATCATCCCCGGCTTCTTTCTCAGTGAAAGCGGTTTTCATGGTGGACTCGGTCAGACAACTTTCATCCGCTTCGGTCTTGTCTGTTCGTTCTGCCTGCTCCACTAATCCTTTTTCAGGGAGTTCAGAGTCGTCAGGGCTTTTAACATGCCCTTCTCCAGATAAAGGTGTGCTTTCTGTATGTGTCTTGTCAGTTCCCTCAGTAACTGTTACTGTGACAGTATCCTCTTGCCCAGGCTGTTGATGTTCCTCTGATTTCGAAGTTTCAGGACCTTTGAATATACCAAATAAGTCACTAGTAAGGGATTCTGTAGGAATGCTACTTGGAAGACCGAAAAATGAACTTTTCTGTTGTGGTTGGGGCTGACGAGGAGCAGGTGATGATCCAAAAAGTGAACCAGGTGAACCAGAAAAAAATCCACCAACATTTGGTGCTTTACTTGGGGCATTTGGGGTAGAAAACATGGACATAAAGCCAGAAAATCCAGCTGGTTCAGGGGGCTTCTGTGGGCCCTGCTGTCTAGGTCCTGGCTGTCTTGGCCCTGCCATTCTTGGTCCTGCCATTCTTGGGCCCCCCATCCGTGGCCCTCCCATCCTTGGAGCTCCCATTCTTTGTCCTGGTGGACCAGGTGGCCTGGCCATGCCTGGCCTGGGCTGTTGTTGTGGTGGAGGACTAGCAGGTCCCAATGAAGGACCTTTTGAAGGCCCCACAGTTTTCAGCTGTGATGTCTGGTGGGTTGGCAATAACAGTTTTCTCATAATCAGATGTTGGAACCATTGCAACAGAGTCATTACTTTCATCAGATTTCTCTAATCGATGTGCCGGTTCTTTGCTAGCCTGGGCAAGTTCTGATTTAGCTTCAATTTCTTCCTTTGCAGCCTCGTCAGATGTGGATTTCAAGTCCTCGTCAACTGATTTATCTGATTCTGAAACTTTAGTCTCTGTTTCAACTGCATCTATTAGAGATTCTGCAGTTGGTTTCTCTGTAACTGTTTCCACTGAATTATTAATACGTTTTTCCACATCTGTAATTGCTGCTTGGTCATTGCCAGCAACTTTCAAAGGTTCCTCAGTTAATTTTTCCACATCCGTGACCGCTGTTTGGTCTTCATCGTCTACTTTCAAAGGTTCCTTAGTTGATCTTTCCATATTCGTGACCACTGTTTGGTCTTCATCGTCTACTTTCAAAGGTTCCTTAAATGATCTTTCCACATCCGTGACCGCTGTTTGGTCTTCATCATCTACTTTCAAAGGTTCCTTGGTTGATCTTTCCACATCCGTGACCGCTGTTTGGTCTTCATCATCTACTTTCAAAGGTTCCATAGTTGATCTTTCCACATCTGTAACCACTGTTTGTTGTTCATCATCTACCTTCAAAGATTCCTCACTTGATTTGACCAAATCTGTAAGAGCGGTTTGCTCATTACCAGCAACTTTTACTGGCTCCTCCGTTGGTTTTTCTACCTCTGGAATTGTTATTGTTCCTTCAACAACCACTTTCTGATGTTCTACTCCAGCCATATCAGAATTTGCAGTTTTGTTTGTATCATCCATAACACTTTTCATTTGCATATCATCGGGATCTTCTAAAGGGCATTTGATGAGACTCTCCCCCTCCCTGCTTTTGAATTCCAAAGTTCCTGCCCCGGATTTATCAACTTCTTTCTCAGAATCCGCTGTATCTTTCATTTTATTATATTCAGTCTGGATGTCTGATTGTTCCTCACTTGTTAGTTTTACAGCTGGTAATGTCTCTTTCTCTAGTAGATTTCCAGTCAAAGTCGGTGTGTCAGTATTTGAAGCTTTAACAATAACCAATCCATTTTCAGCATTAGAAGATTGCATCATGGCTAATTTGTCTCCCCCCAGATCTCGATCTGTTGGGCAAACAGAATTTTCAGTAGTATCTAAGGTTGAAGCTTGACCATCTTGGTAAGCCTCCTCCATTTGGATTTCCACTTTATCTAATGAAGTAGAAAGAGGCTGAGAAGGTACATTTTCCATGGCCTCAATAATGGGGTCCTTTGCTACTTTCGAAATATCTTTTGTGTCCATGGGTTTCAGCTTTTTGGAGTCAGTCTCCCCCTTCACAATTGTTTCTGGCTCTGTCGTTGGTTCTTCCATGAAAGACATTCCAAATAGACCAAACCCAGTTTTAGATTTGTTACCATCAGAACTACCACCAAGTGAAAACACAGAGGGAACTTTGAAACCACCCTCTGATTCAGGTGGTTTAGAAGCGACTGGATGGTCTTCTGATGCTTGCAGGTTTTGTCCACCAAACATAGAGAATAGTCCTTTTCCTGAGGGCTCTGGACCCCTGGGTCCTGGTGGTATAACTGGTGGGGGTACCTTTGCTCCTGTTTGGGACTGGGCACCTAGACCTCCAAACTTGGAAAACAAACCTCCAACAGGAGTTTCTTTATTTGTAGTAGAACCTGGGAGGATGCCACCAAATATAGACGATCCAGTGGAAGGTGTTCTTGGTGTGGCACTTTCCATAGGACGAGCTCTGGGACTGGGTGGTTGCTGAGGAGCCGATGCACCAAACATGGAAAACAGGCCTTTGCCTGGTGGTTCTTTGGGTGGAGGACCTCTAGGTCGCACACTCCCACCAGTTGGACCTCTTGGGCCAGATGGTGGTTGGCTACTCGATCCACCAAACATAGAGAATAAGCCTTTTCCCTGGGTCTCATGTGGGGTTGAAAGTGGTGGGTCTTTGAATCCAGGCGAAGATGGGGCATTTGACCCACCCAACATTGAGAGTAACCCTGTCCCAGGACTGTCTTTGGTAGATGACGCAGGAAGAATGCCACCAAGTATTGATAATCCAGTTTGGGAGGTGCTCTGCTGTGGGGTTGCAGTAGAGCCACTAAACATAGAAAATATTCCTTTTACTGGTTGTTCTGCCTCGGGTGGATCAGTCCTAACCGCCAAATTATCCTCCTTAGAGGTTGTGATTTCTTCTGGGACAGGTTTGACAGGACTGGGTGGAGGGGTAGATAAGGTGACGCCCTTTTCAGTTTTTTCATAAAGCTGTTGAACACTTTCAGCTGATTTTATGTTTGAGACCGAGGGTTCTTCTTTCAGTGACAACATATCAACATCTTCTGGAAATATAACATCTGAAGTGTTGCTCTTATCACTGTGGGCTAACTCTTCAAGAGTTTTAGAGCACTTTGTTGGCTCCGGCACTAAAACTGTGTTTTCAGTTACCTGATTGGTCAGATCAGTGAGAGTTTTAACTATTTCAAGTGGTGTTATCTCTGAAGCTATAGATTTTAAGTCCTTCGAAGTCATCTCCAGTGGCGGCTCACAAGCCACAGATGTCTCTGATTGTACTTCAACAGCTGTTAATAGGGGATCTTCTATAGCTGAGCTTTCCTTGATAAGAACAGGGCAGGACTGATTTTCATCTGCATGGGTATAATCTCCTGTAGTCAGGGTACTTAGCATCTCTGGTGAATAGGTCTCAGGTTCATTGAATGCTTTTGTGCTAGAGGTTTCTGCAGCCGTATCATCCACAGTTATAACAGATTGTGCAACAATATCCGCAGGTAGAGATTCCTCGCTGTCTGGCAATGATGCTGCAATTTCATTGGTACCTTCAGAAGCACTGGCTTCACACAGTTCAGGTTGAGTGGATTGATTAAGGTCCTCTTCAACTGAATCGTCTTCTGGTGAACTTGCTGCTGAGACAAAAATATGGGGTAGTCTAATGAAAGGTTTCTGCTCACTTGGGTCAATTTCTGTTTCGACAGAAGGTGCTTTTGAGTAATCTATGCCAATGTAGATGGACGTTGGGATAGCTGATTTCCTCCTGTGATGTGTTGGCTATGGTAGATACTTCACCAAATCCAGTATTGACAGGAGCAGATTCAGTGTCTGTAGTTTGTCCTGTATCCTTAAGACATTGCTGCTGTGACATGCCTGATTTAGATAAAGCCATATTATCTATGATGACGTCTTCGGTAGTTGGTTTGGATGCAACCTCTGACACTGTCTCTAAACATTCTATTGAATGGGTTTTACTTAAAATGCCTTTAGGTGTCATAGTATTTGGTGGTTTAACCGGTGAACATTCAAGAGGAGGTAATTGTTTTCCCGGGGAATCTCCTGCTGGACTTGCATTTAGGGTTGCCACTGGATGCTGATAGTCTTGAGAAATAGACCTCTCAGCATTCATTGCTAAATTGTCGGAGGACGAGACCATTGATTGAAAAAGATAGTTCCTTTTTGAATCTTCATCTTTTAATTTAAAAGCAGGGTCATCTTGGTCACTATGAAATGCTGGTGTGCAAGGAGGATAAACAGAGGAAGCAAGCATTTTCGGGCTTAAATCGACTGAAATCTTATCTTCATCATGACAGTGGATCGGAATTTCAGTCAATACAGGTGCTGTTTTCTCATCAGGAGTGAATGTAACATGGCTGATAGCAGGTGTCTGTGTTGGAGTAACTTGGATTTTGTCATCCACAGGTATTGACACAATCTGAGCGTGGTGAGGCGTCACATCAACCGATTTTGCAGTGATGGAGGCTTGTGAACCTAAGCGACTATATAATGAAACCAAACCCTTAACAGAGGTGGGCCCGGTTGGTGTTGGAGATACTTTCTGTCCTTGCATTTCAGCTCCAATACCCTGGTTTAGATTACTCTTTACTTGAATTACCGGAATTGGGCCATGTACGGTGGTGGGTTGCGCACTAACCTCTGATTCATGTTGAATTACAGTAACGGTACTAACAGTTGGTTTCTGATATGGCTGAACAGTGACAGGGCCTTGGCTTGGATCAGGTTGTTTTGAGAGATGAAGGGATTCCTTTGCAGAATAGTCTGTTGCTGCACTGCCCTGTACTGGCTGAAAGTCTAAAGACTGAACTGAAGGATCTTTCCTGTTTCTTTCTTGTGCTTGCTGAATAATTAAAGTAGAAACAGTTTGGGATCTACCATCGAGTTGCTGGGTGGAAAGGGAAGGCAACATTTGTCCCTTACTAGTGATTGTTTCAATGTTTGATGGGTCTTCTTCAATGGTTCCGTAGCTGTCCACTGTTGGCTGCTTTATAAGAATTTTTGGCCTAAACGCCATCTCATGCTGAACAGCTGTATCTTGTCTTTGTAACTTTGGAACCTTTGCCTGGGATCTAGCAGTGGATGAGGTCCAACCAGATTGTTGATTATGCTGTTGTGGGACTGAATGTTGTGTTTGTAGCTGAGGTATATTTGGAGGCAATTGATGTGGTTGATCAGTTGTGACCTGATAGTACGCACTTTTTGCTGAGAATGTAGCAGATATATGGTCCTGCATAGCCTGGCAAGCAAAATTCTGAGGAGTCTGTTTCTTCCTTTGAATTGTCTCTATGGAGGAAATTGAAGTATTCAGTCCTCTTTCCGGCTGCCTTCTGCATTGTCCGCCCTGTTGGATGTAGGCCTGTTTTTCAGTGGAATATTCAACAGAAGTGAGTGGAGGAATGTATTGCTGCTGATCGTAAACACCATTCTGAGAATGAGAAGACATATAGGAAAATGATAGATCTTCTGCATCTTCAAGACCTGTAATTGGGGTTTTGACCATAGAGTCCACAGTTAGGTCAACAATACCCAGAATTATTTTTTTCTCCTGCCCTCCAGTCTGCCTTCTTTCAAACACGTCTTTATTTGCTTTGTTATTAGTGCAATTCATTGGCTGTCCATCCACTGGAATAGTGAAAGTACTCGATGGTTGCAATTTAATGTTAGTTGTATCCACGCTATCTCTTGGAGAGAAGTCCACTGCTCTATGTTGTTGGCATGTGTCCTTGTGGGTAGTTTTTGAACCAGAAACAACCTCATAACTGTGATTGGAAATCTGCCAATGTGGTGTCTCTGTTGTGTTAACTCCACTCAATATATGCATTCCTTGGTGGTATGCAGATTGTTCCATGATGAGCGGTACACCAACACAATAATTCTTTGGTACCGTTGTCATGTTTCTGACATATGGTACAGTTTCAGTTGGCATGGTATTTGTACCTATTTCCGATGGTCTTTGCGGTAATTTCGGAGACATATCTAGGAAGCTTTTGATGGAGTTGGCAGGTGCTGATGATCTTTGATCTGTTTCTCGAGATCCAGTGTGCACAAATTGCTGTTGCATCTGTTCTTGCGATCCTACTTGTGTTTGTTGCCTTTTAGGTTGCTCCTGGGAGGGGCGTGTTTCCACAATTAATGGGACACCCGCAGAATCTCTTTGAGAATGTGCAAAGCCTGAAAGCCTCGTCCTTACCAGTGACACTGGATCTGAATAGTTGACCACTGTATCAGATATACATGCCTTTGTTGACATATCGATTGTGCCTTTAACAGAGTTGGCTGGAGCTGTAGAGAGTGGTTGAGGTTGGATAGTGATATGTGACACACCATTGGCTTCACTAATACCGGAACAGCTGGGAACTGGTTGATGCAGAACAGGACAAATGTCTCTGTCAAGGGTTTGATGTTTCGGTGCATCGATAAAGGTTTGAAGTTGCCTTTGGCATGTTGATTCCAGTGGTGTTGTTTCAACTACGAGGGGAATACCAACAGAATCCTTTCTGGCAACCGCTCTTGCACTTGGCTTATTAACAAGGGAAATTGCTTCGATTTGAGTAGACTCAGATTCTGGCATTGACGTTTGCAGTGTAACATGGGATGGTTTGGGTGACATATCCAGTGCTGCAGTTGTGACAGGTTTTGTCAAAGTCTGATGTGTTTGAGAAGTGTCTGAAAACTGTACATTTGATAGATTTGACTTAACACCATTAGTCTCATGTGCACTGGGGCACTTCATTGTCATACAGTTGAGAAGGGGTTGATGCATGATAGGGACCATGTTTCTATCAAGGGTTTGCTGTTTTTGCACAGGGCTCAATGTCTGAGGTTGCTTCTGGCATGTTGACTCAGGTGGGGTCAGTTCAACTACAAGAGGGAGACCAACTGAATCCTTTCTGGCAATTGCCCTTGCGCTTGGCTTATTAACAAGTGATACTGCCTCTCTTTGAGTTGATTCATATTCTGATATTGTTGTCCTCAGTATGGCTTGTGACAGGTTGGGGGACATATCCAGTGCTGCATCAGTTAACGGTTTTGTTGAAGTCAATGTTTGATGTGTTGAAACAGATTCTGAAGACTGCAGAAATGAGTGATTTGACTGCATAAAGGAATTAGGTTTGCTGTGGCAATATTGTTGTTGATATTTAATAGAATCTGTGTTGCATTGTGTCCTGTTTTTGAATTCCTGGTGTGCATTTGTAAGGGAGCTGATCTTAATGTCACCAGGAAATTGTTGAGAAGGAATATCTACAACTAGTGGTACACCAACCGAGTCTTTGCGTGCAAGTTCACGGGCACTTGGCTTGCCTCTTGTTAGTGGTAGAGCTTCAGTTAGAGTGTCATCTGATCGTACTTCAAGAACCAACCCCTTCAAATTGGCAGAAGACTTAGAAGTCATGTCTAGAGTGGCCTTAACTGAATTGGCTGGTGCTGTGGCTTCCTGGGGTGGTCTCCACATTTCAAGGGATTCAGAAGACTGACCTAAGAGAGATTGCTGTCTGGGTAAGAATGACCTCTTACTACCAGATGGAATCTCTTTTTTTGTAACACCTGTAGTAGTATGAGATTGATATATAACAGCTGATGAATGCTTATTATCCGTTGTTATTCCCTGACGCTCTGGGGATTCCCCTCTATTTGACAAGTCAATGGATTCATGAGCACTATAACTTGTTTTTGTCTCCTCTGAAGTTGTTTTTCTCTTTGTCAATGACAGCGCCACCGGGGCAGGATCCTTCGATCGTACAACAGCTTGCCGAGTCTGCTGGCTTATTGTCTTAGACATATCTAGCGTTGCTTTAACGGAGTTTGCTGGTGCAGTGTTACCCTGATATTGGTGGGCGTCTCCACTCGACTGACGTGAAGGAGGTCTAAAAATTGCCCTCTTACTGTCAACAGGAACCTGCTGTATACAACCAGCTGGAACTATTGGTGGGCGTTGCGGAATATTTTGATGCATGTTGAATGAAGAACTAACTAGCTGTCCCTGAGGGTGTTGTCTCGAAACAGGGCTTACCAATGGGGCAGTGCGTATCGGCTTTAGTCCTCCTTCAATGCCGGACACTTCACTAGCAATATGAGTAACTGAAGAAATTCTCGTTGTTGATGACATTACATTGGTGTCAGAACTCCGAGGTAATTTCTGAGAAGATGGAATAGACGGTTTTGGAACACCACATTGGTTGGAGTCAGTTGTAGAGGTACTGTGGGAGGCTAGGGGTCTATCCATATGCATTGTAGAAGACATATTAGCAACTCGAACCTCTGGACAGGACAATTGTCTTTCTGATTTGTTTTGTTGGACAACAGGCCTGTAGTTGGTCTGAGAAACGGTTCTCTGAATTGAAAATCTTTGCTGTAGAGCTCCCAAAGTGGGATATTCTATGTCAGGACATTCCTCTTCTTCCTCCTCAATTTTTTTCGTAAGATCTACAGCGTTGATCTTGTCAGTCAAGTTCACAGTTGTGTTAGCATCCATTTCCTTTTTTTCTTTGGATTTTTTCAACTTGTATCTTGTAAAGTCAACAACTTGGTCTTTTTGTGTGGAATCTAGGTTGGCATTGGTCACTTCGTTTTCTTTGGTATTTTTGATTACATTAATTGTGGAAGAAAAATCTAAGGCTTTATTGCGTATCTGACGTTCAATAGGAGTGCCAAAGTTATGATTTCTTTTGTAAAGATGGGCTTCATTACTTGGGCTCTCATTCAGTATATGTAACTTAGGAGTAAATTCCTTAGGTGGATCTTGTGTCTGCTTTGGAGACAGGGGGGGTGTTTTGTCCATTGAGAAGGGACGGCTGACTATACCAAAGTCACATGTCTCTGTGACTGTGGTCTTATTCGCTTCCGATAATACTCTGGGTTTGTCCGCCTGAGATAGCTGCCTTGCAAGCTGGGGTCTCTGCGGGGAAATCGTAGGTCCAGCCACAGTTCCAGGAGAGGGCGTTGAGGGTAAACTCCTAACAGAAGTTGGCTGAGCTGAAAGGGCTGAAGAGGCTTTAGTTACAGGTGGGGGTGTAGGCAGTTTCCTTGCCAACTGTACGGATCCTGGTATTTTCGAAGCAGACGGGCTCTCAGCAAGTTTTCTGGAAATGTTTGAAGTTTCTGAAACCTTGCTGGACACCAATTTTGATGTAACAGGTGTTGAGGATGTAGGTTTACCAGCTTTACTTGCATGAGTAGGAGACATTCCAGCTATTCCTCCAATTGCTGAATATATGGAGTTTGACTTTTGTAATGGTTGGTCTGCAGGTGTCTCACTTATATTTGAAATCCTGATTTCAGGAACCGGGTAACGTCTATTTGCAGAGATTGGTGCTGAATAGTAGCTCAGAGAAGGTGATGTTGAGAATGTAAGTTCATCTTTTATCCCCTGATTCTTCCAGTATGGCCCACCGTGTCCCCCTTTCGGTGACTTTAAAGTAAGATCAGAAGCCTCCATTGGCTCCTCTCGGCAGCTATTTTGCATGGATTCAACATTAATCTTTTTAAGCTTATAGACACTGAAGTCTACAGGCTGATCAACTTGAGCAGACAAAGATTCTTGAAACATTTGAGAGAAGCTTTCCAAATTCATGTTCATTATTTTTTCTCCTTTTCTAAGGGCAGAAGTTAAGTTGATGGGTGCATCTAAAAGTTGTGATTCATTCTGTTGCTGCCCTTGAATCCATAAACCTTTATCTTCGGTGCAGAGGGGGATTTTAAAACCACAAAGGGTAACTCTATCCTTTTCTTTTTGTTTCAGAATGTTGGCAATATTTTCAGTAATATTTCCGAGAGCTTGTACATCCTCTGGTGCACCACAGGCATAGAGGTGTCTCCCAGCTCTGTCGGTTAAGAGGGAATAGATGTATTCGTCATCTATATAAACATAATATCCGCAGTCCCCAGCCTCAGCTGGCCACCACAACCCTTGCTCCAACAGTGAAAGCCATTGTTGATACCACTCAGGATTCTCAAAGAGCATTTCCTCATCAGTATCTCCTGTAGTGCCTGCAGACCTGCTTAAATTCACAGCGCCACGTGTTAAATCAATTGGACCCTTTTTTGTGGAAAGTTGTTTTAAAAACTCAGTTGCTGCCTTCAAACCAAAGTCTTCATCTGTTGCACCACTAGCAACACCACTTTTTTCCACTACTTTGCTGAATTCCAAGGAGGACTTTTGTAAACTGCAGTCTGCAAGCGAATGAGCTCTACTTAACCGTGTCTTTGTTTTTTCCATGCACAGATTTAGAGCACTACTTTCATCAATCCAAGTTTTTCTTTTCCTATCAAGATCATTCAAATGGTCACAGCTACTCCAGGGTTTCTTATCTCTGCAGGTCATATCAAACAAAACAAGATCTTCATCTTGTTTTAAGAAGCAACTTCTGCTCTCAAAATGGTGGGTAGCAGCATCCCGCCAAGGATGTGAGGGCACATTGAAGTCACTGATGTCCATTTCTATAGGATTTAACCAAGACTGGTTCTGATATTGAGGGGCTCTAACAGTTGATGGTATATTCCCTTGGCATGCATGAGAGCGTTCCTGAACCTGACAGGCAAGGGCTTCAGCAAGGGCATAATCATTAAGTTGCTGCCACAGAAGAGCCTCTATGAGACACTGATGCTCATAGAGCTCTGGTGGAATAACACCATGCTCTGTAAAGTTGTATAAAAGATCCCTGTACCCATACGCATTTTCTGTCCCATACAAAAGACGTTGAATTTCCTCAAGATAACATTGGGTTGGAGAAATTGTCGGATCTTTCCAAACCTGAGATTGCAGAGGTTCTTTCTGGGAATCAACAACTGAAGTAGCTGTAACAACAGCAGTTGTGAGTGTTGCTGTACTTGAAGAGGTATCCTCCTTACTCTTTGGTTGAAAACGATCAAGAAGGCCTTTTTCAGATTCCTTTCCAGGAGCAGAAGTGCTAGCCTCACTGGGGCCTGATTTGAAAATGCTAGATAGCAGACCAGGAGACGTGCTACTTGTGCTGGTTTTTGGTTCCTCCTTCCCAAGCGGAGGCGTTGACTCCTCTGTGACACTAAAAAGGCCAGAGAGAAAACCTTTTTGAGCTGGACCTTTTGAATCCTTAACTGTGGAAGCATCTTGGGTGGAATGCATCTCTACTGGTTTGGTTCTCTGAATCTGTGGTCGCCCCTGTCCTGCACGGGGAAAATGTTGTTCCTGTGTTGTTTGGAGATTTACCTGATCAGGAGGTGATGATGACGGTTCCACAGTACCTGCAATTTTGTTCATCAGACCCGACAATAATCCCCCTGATTCAGGCTGGGCTGGAACTGGTCCGGATTTAACAGATGGTTGACCTGCCTGAGCTGGTTGAGATGACTGTTGATCCAGTGGTACATTTTCACCAGATCCAAGCTTCAGAATACCCGAAAGCAAACCTCCACTTTGACTAGGCTGTTGGGTTGCTGTATGTTGAGGATTTGCAATCTTGCCAGGTGGTTGCTGCTGCTGAGGTGATGGCTGCCCAAACAGACCAGAAAAGAATCCTCCTTGCTGACTGGATTGAGCCGATTGCTGACCTGTAGATGGACCAGGTCCAACAACGTTTGATTTACTTCCCTGTTGGGACCCTGTCTGTGGAGAGGGCTGTTGTTGTACATTATCCGTGGATGCTAACTTATTAAAAAGCCCGGATAATAAGCCCCCCTGCTGCGGCTCTGGTGCAGGGGCAGCTGGTTGCGGAAGAATCTGGTTTTGCCTCCGTAGAGGCTGTCTGTTACCTTGTTGGGGTTGCTGCTGTTTGCTGTGACTAACTGGTGGTTGCTGTGCTTGAGGAGTGGGGCCGGTGGAAAATAGCCCAGAGAAGAGGCCTCCCTGTTGATTAGGTGGTTGCTGGGTAATTCTCGGCCCTGCTCTTTGTGCACGTTGCTGTTCTGGTTGATTTCCGACTGCGGGCTGTGGGGGGCCTGCATCCGCAATTTTGTTAAAAAATCCAGTGAGCATACCTCCGGGACTACCTGGTGGCTGTTGTGGAGGGACTTGGTTTTCTCTATTGCCCTGTTGCTCATTAGATTGTTTCCCAGATGTGCCACTTTTTTGCTGGTTTTGTGAGGGCTGGCCTGGGTTTGCTGGAGCAGAGTCCTGGCCCCCCATTCCAAATAGACCAGAGAAAAAGCCTCCTTGTTGAGGAGGTGCTGTCTGTGCTGGTTTTTGGTTTGTCCCTTGAGCACCAGACTGGGATTGTTGTGGGGGCGGAGTGGGACTAGGTTCCACGATCTTGTTAAAAAATCCTGACAGCATATTACCTGATTGCTGATTTGATTGTGTAGATTGTGTTGCCAGGGGTCCTTCTTGTGGCTGGGAAGCGGTTTCAGTGTGTTTCAACAAACCTCCACTAGGTTGAGACATAGTTCCTGATGCGTGGAGATGTTGTTCTTCAGTTGTTTGATCAGTCTGTAGTTGTTGGTTTGGTTGTTGATGGGAGACTACAGACTGTTCTAATTGCTGGTCAGACAAATCCCCTCCTGACTGATTAGGAGGAGTTGTCCCTTGACTCAAGTTTTGTTCAAGTCTTTCTGTTTTTACTATATTTTCAGCTCCTTCTGGATGGGACTCTTGACTGGGCGGATTTGCTTGAGCCCCAGTCATTGTGTCAGCAGCTTTTTTCAAGAACCCAGAAAAGAATCCTGCAGAAACTGTCTGTTCAGCAGCAGGTTGTCCTTGAGGTGGAATTTGGCCTGACTGGCCTGCTGGGCATGATTGTGACGGATTGGTAGGAGCAGACACGTTATCAGAGGCAAATTTTAAAAGTCCTGACAACATTCCTCCTGGCGGTTGTGAGGGGGGATTATGTTTTGTTTCGGCAGACGACTGAGAAGGTGATGAAAATAGGCCTGAGAATAGTCCACCCTGTTGAGGCTGACTCTCCCCTCCTTGGGCCTTCTTGTCAGACGACACGTCTTCTGTTGATCCTAGTTTCAGCAATCCAGAAAATATGCCTTTGGCCTCTGAGAGTTGTGATTCCACAGGTTTTGGTGGAACTTGATCTATAGATGTGACATCTGCCTCAGGCAGGACTTCTGTCTTGCTTCGGGAATCTTTTTCAGACAACGCTTGCTCCTGAGACGATTGTTCTGTTCTGCAGAGCGGGCTCACTGTGGTTTCAGGGACCATCGGCCCAGTATGAGGCTCAGTTTGACCACTAGGCTTGGTTAGCAATACACTGGGAGTCATTTTTGGTGATGCAGCTTCCTTAGCGGGTTCACTTTGGGCTACCTTAAACAGGTTTGAAAACCAGCCAGTTTCTGTGTTTCCTTTAGGGGCACTTTCAAGAAGAGCAGCACGACTTGGGGTGGGACTTCTGCCAATGCTGGAGGATGGACCTTGAGAAGAGGCATTGACATCTTCGCCAGATGCAAACTTGAGAATGCCTGAGAGCATTCCCCCTTCCGTCTTTGGTGGGGTTATTGTGGGACTATTTTCAGAAGAGAAAAAAGGAATCTTGAGTTTGCTGCCTAAAAATGACTCCTCAGCAGGTGTTGTGTTGCTCGGGGGACTTTCGGCAGGAGCTGTTGATATGAGGGTAGACAGAGATTTTTTAAAAGGACTGAAGAAGCCGGTTTCCTCTGTAATGCGTTCAGCTTTTGGTTCAGAGATTGCAGGTGTTCTTCTTTCTTGAATATCAGGTAGCTCACCAGATGACTCTGTTTCTGGCAGAAGCTCCACCGATCCACTCACGGTTTCCTGCGAAAGCTCAATCGATCCTGTATCTGGCAAGAGATCAGCTGATCCGCTTCCTGATCCTGGCCTCGTCTCGCCTGATGACTGTCGTTCTGTTTCTGAGCCCTCTCTAGGCCCAGTGGATTTGTTTTCAGACTCTTGGATGGATTCATTGCTTCTAGCAGATGGGCTTTTTTGCTCTGACGGCTGAGGTGAAGGCTCTCTAGATGGCGGTGCACTCGAAAAGAGTCTCAAAGGACTAAGCCTCCCAAACATGGACTCCAAACCGGAGGAGGATTGAATAACAGAGGGTGCACTGGCTTGTGCCTCTGTGTCAACACGCGCTGACGGCTGGCCCGTGTCGGCTGCTCGACTGGATTCAGAGGATTGAAACGGCAGAAGAGACTGCAGGGAAAACCTCTTTTCTGCTGTGGGCTCCTGAGAGGCTGGAGGAACTATAGCCACTGGCACGGAAGTGCCACCACTTTTGGGAATGAACGAAAGCAGCTTTGAAATACCAGACTCGGGTTGTGGTGGTGCATCTGTTGGAATGGTACCAGACGTTTCTGGGGCTTCGGTATTAACTTTAGGGATCAAAGAGAGAAGTTTTGAAATACCGGAGTCTGCCTGTGGCTGTTTGGGAGATGTAGGCGTGGCAGAGGCTTCTACTTCAGCTGTAGCCTTTGATCCTTTGATTGTACTGAATAATGAACTCATAGCATTCTTTACTCCAGCTATTCCCTGTTCAACAGCAGTGTCCTCCTTAACTTCGGGTTGGACTTCTTGGCTATTACTTTCTTCAGGTTGTACGACTTCAGCAGTGGTTGGCAGTGCTGGGAGTTTTCTTCTAATTGGTTTGGGAATTGATTCATAGCTGTTGATCTCCTCCTCTTTCACGGCCAGGTATTCAGATACAGAATGAACTAAGCTTTGAAGTTCACCCATGGCATCTACATATTCATCATTTGGCTCCTCTACGGGCGTCAACATAGGATCTGGTCCATGACCTATTCTCCCTTTACTTAAATAGACTTGTCCTAAAGGTGACATGTACTTGCTAGGGTAGGTGTAACTGTCATATTCATAGCTAACATCCCCATCAGAAAACGTCAGGTCATAGAGTTCCTCCTCAGATCCAAAGGAGTACTGCATGTCATCTGAACCAAGCGAGCCATAGTCTCCCCTCCCTCTGATTCCTGCAGCCTCTTCCCGAGCTTCTTCCTCCTCACAAAAAGCTGCATAGCTCTCTAGTGTGTCCTCCAAGGCAGTTTTGGCCCACAGTCTGGTCTTGTAAAGTAGACCTTCTCTGTCTGCCTGCTGTCGTAGCTGTTTGACCGAGGGAATTATATCAATTTCAGGAGGGGACGACTCATCCTCAAAGCTGCCGGCTTCCTTGTAAACTATCCGTACCTCTCCACTACCAATGCCACGTCTCTGTCTGGGGGGGGCGCCGTCCGCCCCCTCATCGGGGGATAGAGCGTCACATTCTACGGTCTGGTAGAACCTGCTACTTTTGGACTCACAAGAGTTGTCGCTGATTCGGTAGATGATGCTTTTATTTTCGTCCTCCCAAATCTTTTGCTCAGCGTCCAGGTAATCATCCAAGACACCCGAGTCAGGCACTTTATATTTATTCTCCCAATCTTCCACCCCCATACCGGAGTCGACAGGGATTATTCTTATTCCACCTTTACTGTTTGATCGCCTTGATTTCAGATGCAAAGTGCAATGAGGGAAGAAGCAGAATGTGATGCAAATAAAAAAGAAGAAAGAAAGGAAAAGAAAAGAAGGTAAATTAAGCATCAGGCGTTAATCACATGGAAATAAAGTGTTCATGCAAGCAAAGAAATAGAACGGCAAATGAAAAAAGCAGAGTGACTAACGTGACTCCTCAAAGCAACGGGCACACGAGGTCTGCGAGTGGCTCTTTGCTCACCTGGGACGCCGTATTTCTCTGTAGTCCAGCTCGTAGCTTCGTATAGAGTCGGCCTCCCCGGAGGGGGTCGGGTGTTGGGCCCTGCGCCCTACGGGGTACTGGTGGACTGATGAATTAGTCTGGGGGGTGTTGTGGAAGCGTGGGGGTCTGCTGCCGGTCTCGCTGCGGTAGTCACTGTCGCGGTCATCCACTGCACTGTCGTGGTCATCCAAAGCTGCACAGGAGGCAGGAACACAGCACGAGAGTTCAGAGAAGCACAAACAAGAGCACGTCTGAAATGCATTTTCAAAAAGATCCAACAGATTGTCACTCAATCATGTCTTGGACTTGATGGTACAGCATCAGGTGACATATCTAAGAAACAGATTGAGGTGATTTTTACAGAAGTTACATCTGTATTTCCATGCAGTAATCTGAGAGTTAGTGTTAGTGAGGACTCTGTTATGATGAGAAGAGAAGAATACTTCAAGAACCAAAAGCTCTCTCTAGTGGTAGCAGGCATGTAGTACAAAAAGATGGCAAAGGCTTTAAGGAGTTATTGGAACGATAGAAACAATGTTCTCCAAGAGCCACATGGAATATGACGACAACATCAACCACACAAGTCACTTTGTACTGTGATGATTAAGGTACATGAATGGCAAATACGACGACGACAAGCGACGGATACGGAGCAGACATGCAGGGTTCTTATTCAAAGGAGAGAGGAGCGCTGTACCATGCAGAAGTGGAGTGAATGACAAGTCACATGGGTGGGGGCTTGGGGGGGCTGGTTGGGACTATACGTACTCTGTTGGTCATTCCATCCAAAATAACTCCAACTACCTGGAGGCATGGAGGCAAGTGTTCAAAGGAGTCAGGAAGAAAAGAGGATGTGACAGGTAACTGAAAACACCCCAAAATGTAGAACAGTTACACCAGTGTGAGATAAAAAAAATAGTAAGCGAAACAATGTCCCACACAGTCTGACTGCTGCATCCAAAGAGGCTCAGATGAAGAGTCAGAATGCTGCTGGGAAATGCCTCCTTCTCATGAAACACAAGAAGACACCTGAAGGACACTTCACTCCAGCACTGACTGGTTCGTCCTCGGCCCCCTGCCACCCCCTTCCAACAAGTTTCATGACAATCGGGTTTCCCACAATCCTTCTGACAAACCAACACACACCAATGAGAGCGAAGGATCTTAATAAGGGTCATCGGTGAGGAGGGTGAGCGAACAAAGACCAACACAACGTCACAAACGTTGGTGAGCTCAGTGTCTTTCATACTCACAGCACTGAGAGGGCACGGAGGCCATTCGCCCCCTCCGGACCTCTTCCTGCAGAGGGTACTGCGAACGGGAGAAGAGAGACAGGATTTAATACCAAAAGACACAAACGATAGAGGACCTTCTACGGCTGGTACGTCCTGTAGTGACCCGTGTGCTCCACTAGGTGGCGGCAGAGCCCCGACAAACAGCAAAACCTGTGACGTAACGTTGGGTCAAGCAGGATGAATATGAGAACGCTCTCAAAACTGTAAATAACACCATTGACGGCGCAGTTTAAAGAAAAGCTCATTCATTATAATGCAGATTAAGATAAAAGAAAACAGAGCGTGGGCGTGAAAGTTTCACTGTGTAGAATTCAGAACTGATTAATGAGTCCCGATGAGGATTCAACATCTCTAATAGATTCTAAAGTCATAACTCACAACTTTTGATCAGGAGTGAACTGACCTCGTCGTGTATCCGCATGGTGTTGATCCGGTCCAGTTTACCGCTCCAGTACTGAGCCTCGTCTTCCGGAATATCTGGAAGGACGGATCGAAAGTAAGAAAAACAAAAAAAAGTACCGTTTATATATTTGGAGACGCATGCGGGAGAGAGTTGGGGGGCCGAGGGGCGGAGGAGGAGGAAGTAGACACACAGACTCTCATCTTATATGCATGCGTGTGTTTAATAGATGACGAGGGGCTTTCCTTCTGGGGGCTCAGAAATAGAATGAACCTCGTGTCTCGGCAGAGACAGAGAGAGGGCAGCAGTTTGGGCAGAAGTTTTGGTTAACTGTGGAGTGTAACTGACCGCGTGCATATGTGCACTATATCTTTATTCTAGTTTATCGATGATTTGTCACAGCTGTCACTCAAGAGAAAAGCCTGAGGCACATGTGACAGGTGAAGACCAAAAAGAGGGTGAAAGTAACCGTTTTTTTGTGTTGGGAGTTTGCTTGATCTTGGCGCGTTTTCATCAAAAGTTTTCATCTTCGGACAGCTCGCCAAATTAAGAGCTCACTGAGCAAAACCACGTGCTGTTTAAGTGGTTACGCGCGAGAAAATAAAAGGAACAAGAAATAAAGATAAAAGGTTGCTGAGGAGCATTCAAGGTGATGTATTATTGACGTTGCCTGGAATCAACTCTTAGTAAAAATGTCATGAAGCCAGATTGGCGAAACGCACAGAGGCTGCTTGTCTACTAGTAGCAGTCAGTCCGCCATCGGTTGATAACTAGTTAATACTGCAATTATTTTGTTGTGAATTCAGCTAATAGAATTTTCTGATGTATTTCATGTTTTTGGTTTTGCACAATAGTCAGAACCGAGATGACAAAATGTATTACTGCTTTCAATCCTGATGACGAAGGCAGCGCAGACGAGCTCCTCTGCTCTCCGCTCTTACCTTTCACAATAAAAGCCCTACATATATGCTCCAACTCACTAGGTGAGTAATAAGTAAGCGAATAAATCAGCTTACAGAAGATTAGGCTAAACAACACTTTACCTCCCGACTAAGTGCAGCACAGCGGCAGAGATGAGAGGTCCTCTGCATGCAAAACATTATTCCAAACCTTAATTTATAAAGTGCTGCAACTGTGACAGTTGTGGCTCAGTTTAACTCTTGAGCCGAATCATGACTCAGCAAATGATGCTAAGCTATCTGGGTTCTAATCTGCATCCCATCCGAGGCTGCTGTGTTCGGGTGAGCACAGATAAATATATACATGTACACATTTATAGTTCTATGTACCAAAGGGCAGCTCGAAGCGGGTGTCCAGCAGCACTTGGTGTGGCGTTGGGTTGGAGGTACCACAGATTTCATCCTCCCTCATCAGCACCTCGGAGTCCAGCGAGGTCCAGTGTCCCGGCCCCTCCTGAGCAAAAGGAGATGGACAAAGACAACAGAGAAAGAGACAGAAAACTTTCATTTGTCGAGAATCACGGACGCAACGTGGAAAACGGGCCGGTCGACAGACCCGAGCAGAGACGAGGAGACGAGGAGAGGAATTGATTTGTTATTAATGACTTCACAAGCACTGCTGCCTAAAACTCAAGCCTGCCAGCCGAGTCTGAGGAATCCCTCTTACAGGTTGTCTGCTCTTGTGTTTTAGGTGAAGATGGGTTCTGATGAGCACGTAGCAGTAAGTACGCGGGTCTATTTCAAGGGTCCTTGTGGCTAGAATATAATTAATATATAAATAATAAATGAACGCGGCGCAGCACCAATCCGCCACGTCTCTGTTGCTCAGGTGTTTTGATTGTGGGAAGAAGTCACGACGCAGTGTTTGAGACGACAACTGAAAGAGTTCAAGTCATTGTGTCGCATTGAAAGAGCGACGGAGTGAAGAAGGAAAAACTTTAACAGCCACAAATAAAAGGGGATTAGAGGAATTATGGAGCGATAAACTGGGGGCTTTAATCCCTCCTGCTGTTCATACTGGACGTTAAGAGATGCCTCTCCAGTGCATCCACCATTTGTTCTGTGGAAAATCTAATATTTCAAAGTCTGATAAGATCAAGTCAGCGTTTTTTTTGCGTTGCAAAAATAAATTCTCAACGGTAGGAACAGAACGTAAGAAAGTCATGCCGGTCTACCGAGTAGCCCTGACTGGAAGCGCAATCAGAGGGGAGGCCTCAGCTGGAAGGAGCACCATCACCTCCACGTTCATACGGGCATGAGGGGCATCAAAGGATCGGCCCTCCATCCCTGCACACGCGACGTGTGTGTGTGTGCGTGTGCGTGTGTGCGTGTGCGCTGGGGCAGCGTCACCTCGTCAGACTGTCCGATGGAGTCCAGAGGTATCAGCGCTGTGCCGATCATCGTGTCCCAGATCAGGCCTTTGTTCCACAGCTCCACCACCAGACCCGACTCCAGATGATTGATCTCACTGTGGAAACACAACGCACACACACACACTACTCAAGCAGCACACACACACACACACACACACACACATTACATCAGGAGCAGAAGTCCAAACAAAAAACAACGGCCGGATGTCAAAATGCAAGCAGATCTTTTCTGGGTGATACTCAGTGTATTAATGCACAAATCGAACGCACCCTGAAGGCAATAATTCATCTCCTCTGAAGACTTGTGAGTTCACGAAGCAGATTCTACCTGTGTTTTGATAAACACACCACCCATCCCCTCCTACCCCCCCCCGCCCTCCATCGGGTCAGAAAGTGGGTCAGCTCATCCTAAAGCCGTCGACTGAAGGATGACAGCTGTCAGTTTCTGACGGATCCGCCGGAAAAGAAAAGACAGCAAACTGTCTCATCTGCATATTTGAGTCCCATTGGTGTCAGTCGTCTCTGTCGACGCTTCACAGCTGGGATGATGGAGGCAGAATGGAGTGTGTGTGTGTGTGTGTGTGTGTGTGTGTGCGTGGGCTACTCGTCACTCACTGAAGGAGACGAGCAGCTGATGTCTCCACCTGTCTGATGTTTGGGAAAGAGGTCGCGTTGTGTCGGTGAAGGCCATCGAGCGGAGGCCCCCTGATGAAGCTGATGGGCGGCGTCACGCGACGCGTCCGTCGGGCTTCACGTCGACATCACAACACGGCTTCAATCACATTTTTTTCATTTTTTTTGCTTCTAAATTGTCAAATAACGTTTAAAAAGCACGATGCTGCATATCGTCTGCATCCCAAAGTCCTTCTCACATGCCGAATGCATTGAAGCGGAGACGCGGTTCTCTGCGGACGAATAAGTGACGCTCTGCTCTCCAGAGAAGGTCCCAGAGGGGCAGCAGCAGGAACCAGACTAGTTCCCCCGAGTCTCATATTAGAACATGTTTATTGGGTTCCGCGGGTCGGAAACTGGATCATTTTTGGAATGATTACATTTCTTCGTAAAGTACTTTGTTATTGTCGAGGTGGGTCGACTACCGGTGGACATTCACCAAATTCCGTCCAGTGGACCTCAGCTGGTTTGTAACAGCAGGATCTAAACGGCAGTGACGTGCGGTGACGTGCGGTGACGTCGGTGCGATTTGCTTCGGCGACCTTATTGCTCGATCGTTGCACAGCGGCCAGTTGCGTTTGTCAGTCAGCGTCAATGGAGACACGCTGCTGAATATGAAGGCTGATCAATTCAATATTAAGCCCGAAATAGCTTCCGACTCACCGATCGGTGGATTGTTTGTACCAAAAAATGAATTTGTGAAGACGTCGATCACCTCGTTGTGACACTCGTTTAAAATACGTGATGTCGGCCGTTTTGCCTTTTGAGTTTCGCGGTGATTCCGCTTGCGAACGTAGCAGCTGCGCAAATGTCCAGTGATATCTCGATTTGAATTGGTCCATGTTTGATAGATGATTACTGGCGGAACATATTTACGTGCAAAGGCACAGCAGAGTTGTGCTTTTTGACGTAAATGTTGAAGAACACAGGAAGTGCGCATGCGCGTTTTCCGCTTGTCCTGCCATTTATTTTGTGTTTGATTGTGCATAACGGCTACACTTGTCATCGTAACGTCTAAACAATTGGAACAACACACATATTGCGTATATAGTTATAAGAATAAGTAAAGTAAAATGTAAAAACAAGTTTATTAAATAAAATGATTTAATTTCTATGTTTGGATTTTGACAGAAGCAGCGTTTTATTTAATGGAAACCAGGAAAACAACCAATGAATAAGGTCTGACATACTCCAACCATGTCTCTGTGTGTGTGTGTGTGTGTGTGTGTGTCAGAGATCTTGAAGCTTCACACACGGCCTCCATCAAAGCCCATTGCTGAGGTTTTGCGTTGATGCCGGGAATAATAAAACGTGTGCTTTGATCATGCAGACAGACACACACATGAACGCTGACAGGACAGAACACACACTTTCATCTGGACAGGACAGAGAGGGAGGACAGGGAGGGAGGACAGGGGGGAGGACTAAGAGCACCTGGGTTTCTGTGAGGAACACAAGAACAAGCCCATGCGTCCTTCCTGATTCCTTCCTGATTCCTTCCTGATTCCTTCATGTGTCCTCCATGTCACTTTTAAGCGACGACTTATTTCATTTTCGTCCTGGAGCTTTAATAACTGAGTTGTCAGCTTTTTACTCGCTATGGCCTCGTTTTTTTCCGATGCAATAAACATCTCTATGGAAACGGTGGAACCACGGCGAGGAGGAGGAGGAGGAGGAGGAGGAGGAGGAGGAGGACGACATCTTTTGTGCTCTAACAGAGTTACACTGCCACCAAAAAGAAGAAGAACCCAGGTCGAATTTCATTTAGAATCGATTCAAACAATTGGAAAACAATAGAATGTTGACCAGCGTGTGTGTGTGTGTGTGTGTGTGTGTGTGTGTGTCCTCCACTTGATGCTCGGGGTCCTGCAGCAGTCATTTTATAAGCACACGGTAGAACGCAGTGACCCTGATGAACTTTTTAGGCTTTGCTTGAACCTTGCTGATGACCCACGCAACGTGGTGGAGACCTGCAGGCTGAAGACCCGCCTGCTTTTTACGCTTCACAAACAACGTAACGGCGAGACGGTGGCGCAGACTGCAACCCGAAAAGCCGTCCCTCCGTCCCTCCGTCCCTCAGTCCCAGAAGGGACACAAACACAAGTGGCTTCAATAGAAACGGCAGGAGGCCACTATTTGAACGTGAGCCGGTTTCTCCTGCTGTGAATCTGCAGATTACAGATTACAGAGTCTGGAGAGGTGACGGAAAGCCGCTGATCTACGAGGCGACGCCGTGGGTCCCGTCAAAAGACGTAAACCCTCAGTAGCAAACGAACCTAAGAGGGACAAAACTGAGGAGTAAAGAAAATAAAAGAGACGCAGTATCACATCGTCAGGTTTCACAAAGAATACACAAGAACTGAAGTCCACAGAGGAGGAGCAGAGCGCCGAGTGACAAACACGATTTTCTTCACAAAGCCGTTTACTCGCAGTGGAAGCGCAGTGTGAGGAGCACAAAGACACACAAAGACACCTGTAGTGTGTGCTTGCAGATTGACCGGCCTCCCCCAGGAAGGAGGCGAGCAAACGGCCATCGTGCAGCTGAACGTCCTGCGGAGGTACAAATCCTCCTCATTTACATACACGACGGTTAACTTAACAGCCGTCGCATTTCTATTTCATTTATTCCGCTCCGAGGCTTCATGTTTCTTTGGCTTCACCGATCTCAACAGAAACCTTTTGGAAGAAACAGATTAACCAAATAACTGCAGGGAAGAAAAAACTGCATATGCGATTATGTAAAAAACGGTCAGTCGCTGTCAGCTGCCCTGTGTTGAGCGATTTTTGGTAACGTTAGCATGCTGACATGCTAAACCTCTGCTGAACAACACGAGAATGTCGACACTTTGTTCCTGTGCACAGAGCTGCTGGAGCGCAGCCGAAGACCCTGAGCGGAATTATTAGCCGGCGTCACATGCAAACAGATTCAGTTAAAGACAAACCGAGATGGACAAATTAAGCCCACTTATTCACCTGGATGTCTGGACCAAAAAAAAAAAAAAACCCTCCAAAGACCATTTCAGACCAATGAAAATGTAGAAAAAAACTGTGTTAATTTGCAGCAGCACGACTTGCGAGCCTGAAAAGCCGAGTTGGATCTCTGCATCAGCCCCGTCTGCCCCGTGGGATCAGACTGGACCGGACGACTCATTAGATCCATCACGGACTCGTCCACTTATCCGAGCTCGGCCCGCCGTTTCACTTTCCATCCGCCCGATCTGCTCCCACTACAAACGACCATTTAGTCCCACAGGCGTCCACGCGCTGCCTTTCAATTTCAGGGAGGCCTCTTAGGGCCAGCCATCGACACACACACACACACACACACACACGCACGCACACACTCTGAATCTTCAATTTCTCTCCACATCTGCCTTAATGCATCCCAAGAGGTCGCTGCCGAAACCAGACGTAGCTTCTAATGTGAGTGACAGCGAGCCACAAAAAAAAGGATAACTGGAAGAAACTGGCAGCGGACACCGGTTCTGGCTGCCAGGGATCAAATTCTATTTATGTTATATCACATTATCGCCACCTCACAAGCGCGATCGTTTGGGTGGTAAAAGTTGCAAGCGATGAATACATGTTGCCACGGTAATAAATGATGAAGAAGGCGGGCGTCACTCACAACATGAAGTCCTGTTCCCAGCAGGGCTGGTCCCCTCGGACCGTGACGGTCGTGCTCTTCACGTTCTGCACCTTTAAGGTCACGTACGCGTTGAACTTGTCTGCAAGAAGAGGAGAAAGCAGAAGGTGCGACTCAGATTAGGCCTTTTGGATTGAATGACTGTGGATGTTTCAGGCTTATTGTACCCGTGTTAAAGCTGCATTCGATTATCCTGCAAAGATTATAAGAGAGAGATTGCTGTTCCGTAATCTGGGGCCTTTGACGTAGCTGGATGCTTCACCTTAACCGCTGTATCCTGGCAACCCTTCTTTTATTTAGCATCCACTCTCTCAGAGAGGAAGCCCGGGGGGCCGACGTATAAAACAGAGGAGTTTGAACCTCAACTCAAGTGTTGAGGTTCAAACAGGTCTGTTAAAGTGTTTATTTTAAATTGACGAAGAAGAGCAACATACGGTTTGTCGCGTTTAGCCTCATGTTGATTAATAAAGATGTGGGGAAGAGCAGCGGTGTTGTGGGTTTACTGCTGGTTCTGCATTTGACTGGATATCTGAGTCAGAATAATAAATCATAGAAACCATTTAAAGACAAAGAAGGACACACAATGGTTCCATGAAGACGTGGGACGTTGTCAAATTGCTCAACAGAGCAGAAAATAATAACGAATGTTCCCCACCAACCTTTTTACCAAATATTCTTATAACAGCAAAATATACTACTGTGTATTTGTGTGTCCTTGTACTCTCTGTGTCGTCTGATTCTAACGTCCACTTCCTGTTGAAGGGGGGCCGGAGGAGCTGAGGGCCACATCGGTGGATTTGGGGGGGTAGGGGGGGGGTGAATGTTGAGCAGCATAAATTACCGCGTTCGGCCTCCGTGGGTCTTAAAATACCCGTAACAACCACATTAAGGGCAAAGAAATCATATGTGAAACCTTTTTATTGACATTTGCCTTTTATTCACAGTGCATTGGCGCGGAGTAAACAGTATTTACAAGAAAACAACAAATACAATGTTTTCTGAATTAAATACTTAAAAGAAATCACTTACTCAATTCATGAGTAATTAATCGAAATGTAAAAATAATTGTTATTGACAGATTAAAAGTGATAAAAGGGTAAAAAATGATAAGTCTGTGTGTATTTAACAGTCCGTATGTTTACAAATCAGCTGATTGTTGGTATATTTCTGCTTCAATTAGTCATTGTCTTCATTTGGGAAGCTATTAAAGTAAATAGAAAATAAAATATATATCCGTCAAAAATAAAATTTGAGTTCTTAATTTTTCTAAATAAAGACTTAAGAAAACGGTGACTCGTTTATTGTGTTCTGGATAATAACTTTATAAAGATGTGGACGGAGGAAAGAAGGCTGATCTTCTGACAGAAGAGATCCTCAGCCGCGTCCTCTGGTCAACACAATGTTGCATAAAGACGCATTTCTCACAACTATCCAATCTCTGTCCCCGCGGAGCTCTCAGAGGAAGACCCCCTGCCGCCCTAGATCCTGATCCATGACCTGCTCCACATTGTGTGCAGCCTCTGGGTGACGCATCATCTGACAAACCTCTGTATCGCATTATATAATCCTACACAACGCTAATAGAACACGCTATAACATGTCAACAATGACACGGAGAGTTGCATTCAGGTAACAGATCCGAGTAGGATTTTTCAATTTGGCACCTTGAATTCTCGGCGATGTGAGACTGTCAGCGGTGCCGAGCCGGCGGTCTACCCGTCGCCCCCCCCCCCCCGAGCAGAGCTGAGCCGTAATGCAGAAGGCCAGAGACAGGGTGGGGGGGGGTGGACGAGGTTAATCAGGAATAATCCATCATTCACTTAAGCGGGCTGCCAGTTGTGTGATTGAGGGTACGAGGGGACGGGCAGCGAGCAGACGGCCTGTTTACCAGCTCGTCTAAAGGGGGAAAATGAGGGAAAACTCCAACAACTGGGCGGAAAAACTAAAATAAAGAAATATTCAACATCCCGTGACGTCAGCCGAGCTCTTCGTGACGGACGACCTCCATAAACGCTATAAGCACAAACGCACACACACACCTTCCTGCAGTAAGCAGCAAACTAGCTGTGGTGGGAGGGGGGTGGGGGGTGGGGCGTATCCCAGCATGCAGCGGGAGCCTCTCGGGGAGCAGCCGGCGTTATTTATAATTAAGTGGCGATGCCTTATGAAAATAAATAAGTAATATTTGAGGTACACACGGACGGGGCAGCCAAGATGACATTTACCAGGCTGTCGACAGTAATGAATACTCCATTAAGGGACGAGGCCGGGGGGGGTGACTCATTTCTTGTGGTCTCTTAACAAGAAGCATGTTCATTTCAGCTGCGTTTCCTTCAACAGCATGAACTGCATTTCTTATATTATTATTATTATAATATTTCCGCGTCGCGTTTGAATCGAGCGTCCGCGACCGTTCAAGACAACCGCCAGTGGTGAGAACGACGACATGGCGCCCGAGGCCGGATGTGTGAGCTTCTGACACTCGCAACCCGCCCTGAAGCTGATGTTTTAGGGGAGACCTTTTCTCTCTCACTCATATTTACTGACCTCGGTTGGTTTTTAAAAGTGGCTTGAGCCTTTAATCGGTTTCCCGTAACATTTCGGTTAAACGTTAGCGTTGCTTCGGAGGGGGATCTCCTTACATGAACGTTGTAAGTGGACTCTGACTCTATAACTGAGGGAGAATAGCATTACGCAGTCTGGCATTGATCTCCTACATTTGAGCTACGGTGGAGTGTAAAAGACAGACGCAGTAGTACGACTGGAATATGAGCAACATTTGGCCCAAAAATCCAAACATTTCAGCATCATTGGAGAAATCAGTGCGTCCTGTGGACTGATCCTCACGGTTCTGTGTTTCCTTAAGGTCTGACGGCCTTTTCTCGATTTTGCCATTTCTGTATAAATTGCATATATGAGACATTCGTATCACATCATCATTTCCATGCCTGTTGGAGACGAACGACGTGTATCACAGTAACTGATCCCAGAGCTGTTGGTTCACCTCCCATGAACATCAACGGTTACAACCAGGGAAATGTGAGTCAAACTAACAGAGTGACACATATACCAGCCAACTTGTCCCCGGGGGGGTCGTCCACCGGTGGGGTTTCAGGGGGGCTTTGGGACATCAGCCAACTCCCCCAAGGAAAAGAATCTATTGCTTGTTCCTATTAAATCAGATCATGTTTCCCCAAACTGGGACATTATAGTGGGACAATCTCTGCTAGTTGTGTCCGACCTGAGACTAATATTTGTGTCACATCAATAATATCAATAAGAGGAGTGTGATCTAATTCTGCATTGGAATAAAAACACTCGCGGATTTGATCCAATTCCACTTTACACTCAACGGAAGTTTTAAGGACATTCTGCTGCTTCTGAACAAACAGGTAAAGTCCACCTATTAATTCACTTGGGGTTTGAAGGGAGGGACTGGAGGACGGAGGACTCATTTCCACGGCAGCTCTGACTGTCCGGCCATCGCTCATGTCTTGTTTTATGAACCCCCGGGGGAGGCCAATCAAATCCACCTCCTTCCGCTCTGAGAATCTGCTCTGCAATCGGCCGATGACGAATCCCCACCTGGATCCGGAGTCCGTCTCCGTCTCCCTCGGGACACCTAGACATTTGTCTCCATCTTCTCCTTCATGGCGAGATGACACGTCGTCCTTCGGGGCCGGCAGGGGGCCCTTTTGTCCGCGACGATCTATTGATTTCTTTTCATTCTCCCACTCGTCGCTGTTCTTCTCCCCCTCATCGTCGCCTGGAGAGATGACCGGAGACCAGAACACAGTGCTTCACCTCCGACTGGCTCATAACGGGGTTTCAAAGAATCTTCTTCGAGTTCGGGCGTTTTGGGCGCCACCATCTTGGATTTCTGCCACCAGTGAGCTCGGGGTAGCAACCTGGAGCGACCACCCTGCTTCATGGTCCTCATTGGATCCTGTTCGGATGACTTTTAATAACTGTGATGATCCAATCAAATATCTCCATCATTTCATCAGTACTTTGATTCTAGCGCCACGCATCAAATCAAGATGGAGAACGCGTGGAGGTCACGGCCTCGACTCACAAGAAGTACTTTCTGTATTTGTACCGATTCGCAGGTCACTGAGAGACAGACGGAGCTTCTAAAAAACAAACTACACAGATGTGTTGGCGAAAGACACTCGTTGGACAAGTTGTTGTGGACCAAAGATCCACACGTGAAGCTCTTACCTGGAGGCCCGTGCAGCTTGGCTTTCTTCACTGGAAGACAAAGAGAGAAAACACAGATTAGTCATGAGGTAACGTTGTTGTTTGTCCCTTTCTGTATTTAGTTTCTTCTCCTTCATTAAATGTTGATGTCATTTGTGTTGTTTCTTAACCTCATGCGACTGTTGTTCTTATAAGCTGGGAAACATCCCGGCTCCTTTCTTGCAGGAGCATTTGGGTTATTTGTTGAATCTGTAAATTTAACTGGAGGCTGGAGATAATTTACCTTCTTCTCTGGATATGAGATACACAACACATCGTTCTACTTTTGTGGTGGAATATGACCACGAGTGCGTTTCATTGGTTTCAACACAGATTTCTGCTTCATACTTTTGTTCTCGTACGTGACTGTTTCTGTTAAAAGACAAAACAAAAACACAGAAGCCGACCGTACGCTACAGCAAACTAGCACAGGATAGCAGGAGATGTTAGCATTCAAGCTAAGTGCTAAAGATGGATCTATTCAATGTTTTATTGTATTCATGAATTTCTCCTCACCTTCATTTTACTCCCTTCATTTTCTCTCCATTTTTATCTTATTTTTCACCTGTCAATCATCTGTAAAGCACTTTGAATAACAGCTGCTTTTTAAAAATAACAATTAACTTTGTAAAAAAGGACCTTTAAAGAAATACTTGTTGTGAGAATTCACGCACAGCGCGACAACAAATGCGTGAAAATGCCAGAGAGTCCAGAAATGCCAAAGTGTGTCGCCCATCAGACGCAATTAAGGACGAACTACGCCCCCGGATCTGTGTTCAGACACGCAGCACTATGCAGGCTCATGGCCTTCTGCAGGTGATTCAGTTATTTAAATCGCATTTCAATGCACATCCTCAGTGAGGGGAGATCAATGTCTTAATTGAATCGAAGCCCGAAAGTGCGGAGATTTGATAAGGGCGACCGACAGGCAGAGAGAGAGAGAGAGAGAGAGAGAGACGCTTTAACTGTGCAGAACGACACACAGAGCAGCGCTGATGCGTCGTCTGCAAACATCACTGCAGGCGGTTCTACCTTCTTCTGTAAATCCATTCATTTAATTTTATATAAAATCATATATTTCAATGGTGAAAGATCCAGGATATTATTGCAAAACCTTAATTTTTTTCCAGTAAATAGAATATATTGTGGCTTTGTCCAGAGTTTGCCAGCTTCAACAGGAAAAATACGTGCATAAAACTACCAGAGTGACCAGGTATCCATCCACACCGCGTCGGCCTCCGGTCCGTCAATCTTATATTGTGATGCAAATACAAATTAAAGAGAAGACCGAAACGTCCAGTCTCACCAATTATAACGTTTAAGCCAAATGTTGCAAAGTGCTTTTTTGTTTCTGCAATAAAGTACACTTTTTTTTTTTTAAACAGCGTGATTCTCTTCTCGTGTCTGAGAGATGTCTGCCGTCAGATACCTCACTCTGCGATATAACGCAGCACACAGCTTATTTAGAGCTTTGCACCGGTCGCACATCATCCAGAAACACGACACCGGAAGCTCAAAATCAGAAGTTCTTTGTTCGCAAGGTGTTTTTGTCCACATGGGCTCCTGCGTGTGCATGACAAAGTAAAACGATACAGAACGGAACCAAACGTTTCAACAAGATCCAAGAGATTTATTTTGGCGGCCCACAGAAACAGAGGCTTGCATCGGGATGTAGTTTAGTAGCAGCCAATCGGAGTGGTGCATTCATGTGCAGTTTTAAGGCCGGGAAAAATATGTTTTTCAAATGTCGTCAATTCAGATAAATCAATTCATAAGCCACCATAAATGTTAATATTTATATTATTAAAATAGTGATATCACAGTGTAGAAATACATTAAAAGTGCATTCAAAGTAGCAACATCACAACTAAAATCATGAATTTGTGTTTATTACTTTAATGTTTCAGCTGGCAAAGGTGAAGCTTATTTTAAGAACGTCACAGGCTGCTGTATAACTTAGCTTATAATAATACATTATAATGTAAGAGTTGATTTTTACCTTTTTGTATTAATAATTACAAAAAAAGCACAAAATTGGAATATTTAAGATTTAATTTGAGTAAAAGTACCTTACAAACGTTTAGTACTGGACTAAAGGAACAGGTTCTGTCGAATGATAATATGAACTACAAACTGTTAGTCGCATCCGTCCCGTCACATAAACAACACAAAGGTCAGCTGACGGAGCTCAGCGTGGCTCTGATCAGAGGTAGTAAAGCGGGACGCACGTGACTGCAGTGATTGTATGAGCGGGTGCGTGCTGCTGGTGGGATAATCTGCCCGAGCTGAAGCCCATGAGCAGGGCTGCAGGGCCGACTGCACGCTGCTGCATTGTGCTGCGGACCAAGACGAGAGGGAACCACGTGGGGAAGAAGCAAAACAACGATGATTCAACTGGCAAGAGCGACAAACTCTCGACGCCGTGGAGCATCCAAAGCTTCTCCGAGTGCTTCGTGTGGTTGTGATATTGAGGAAAGCCATGAAGGCTTTTTGATGCAGGCCGACGGATGTTCACATGGTGAGTCATGGATCGGATTAAAGCGGCTGCACTGACCATTGTTACGTCACGCGCGCGTCTGTAGGGTCTTTGACGCTACAGACGCGGCAAAGCATTCATATCGTTTTGTGCTCCAGCTCGTCTTCTATGCACGATACGCCGAGCTGTGCCTCTTACATTTATCACACACACGCGTGCATATGTGGCCGACTACCGGTGCGTTTTGCTTGTACACAGTAGTACGGTTGAACGCTTGCTCAACTCAAACGTTCCACCTTAAGGCTCCAACATTAATTGTCGAGTAATATCCAGCTTTCATAAAAACTGCAAAAACAAATGGCATCCATGTATCCGGCGCAGCGGCACGCCGGACGGATTGAAACAGCTGGTTTGGTACCTGCTTTAATAGACTGCAACTTTAGCCAGCTTCTTAGTTACAAAGCTACAGGGACGACATGTTTCCTTCTTCTTCTTCTTTTTCTTCCTCCTCAGACTGCATCCCCGACCGGCTGCTGTGGCTACGGCGTGCGAAGGAGCGGCTTTGAGGTTTAAGGGTTGAAATAATTAAGAGTCACTTTTTGAGGTCTTTGCATCGGGGCGCCACACACAGCAGCATGTTCAGTTGAGACCAGGCCGCGTACAGTGGGGGGGGGGGGGGATTGGATTGGCTTTGTCTGAACATCTCACTAACTTATCCCGCGGTGCCATTACCAGATAACAGGAGGCCAGGATCTGTTATCAGCTCTGGTCCCGCCGGCTCTCGGTGGGTTCGGGTCGGTGGAGGTTGGCCGCTGTGTCATTATGGGCTGCACACTTCTATTTAACAACAGCCAGAGTGTGTGTGTGTGTGTGTGTGTGTGTGTGTGTGTGTGTGTGTGTGTGTGTGTGTGTGTGTGTGTGTGTGTGTGAGCGACTGTTTGAGCGTCCCTGCTACCTTCCATCCTTTGAGCTGCATGATGTCAGAAAAACTAACATGGTGCGATACAAAAAAGTATTTATAAAAAAAATAAGAAGTCCCCTGCGGGACAATTATTGGGCGACATTTTAAAGGGGTAGATTCATAATTTTAGTGCTCACAAGCAAATGTGCGCACCTGGAGAGGTTTGGTGGGTATATTAAGGATGACATAATCACACACACACACACACACACACACACACACACACACACACACACACACACACACACACACATCATCATCATTCCATTGGTCATAACCATTAACCTTCTTCACGGAACACGTAACAACATTCACTTTGTTGCTGGCTGCACAAATGTGAGCATCATTAATAAAGTTGTGATAAACAAATGTTGCACTGGTCCATTACATCACATCACATTACATCACATCACATTACATCACATGTCATTTAGCTGACGCTTTTATCCAAAGCGACTTACAATAAGTGCATTCAACCATAGGGACACAAACTCAGAAGAACAAGAAAGTGTAATTTCCTCAAATAAGCCGATTTATTTGCTTTAGATGAGCGGCGTTACAAGTACAATTTAAGGGCTACAATTCGTTAGTCTTTTAGTGGAGTCTGAAGAGGTGTGTCTTTAGTTTGCGGCGGAAGATGTGAAGGTGTGTCACTTGTGTGAACATTTGGTCCCACTTGATTTAGTTTGCCTTTTTAAAATGATTTCCCCCGCAACTTGTTATAGACCGACCAATGAGCTAAACAATCACACCTACAACCCTCCAGGTTCCAATGTCAGCCCCGGGCCACGTCCACCCGGCAGCTCTCCAACCACACAACGCCCCCTAAACATGAACCCCGCAGGTGGCTTTCCACCTGCCCTGCAGGTACGAACTCACAGACTCCAAAACGAGAAAAGGTTACTTTACTCTCCATTCAGGTTTATTCGAAGATAAATGCACGTAACATAATAAATATGTACAAATTCATGCAATGTTAAACATGTCGGTGGAAATCTTCCCAATCCTGCTCACATTCGCACAATCGAGTACACGAAAAACTTTGGTCTCATAGCTGTTTCTCATCCATCTCTGAAGTTGAGGAAAGTGGCCCCGTTGTGATTACCAGGGAAGTTAGTACCTATCACTGGGGAGGGG